GTAGTGGAGGTTGTGGTTTGTGGAGGTTGTGGAGGTTGTGTTGTGTGGAGGCTGGTGTGGTGGGTGGGTTGGGGGATGGTTGCCTTAGTTGTACAAGACACTTGAGGCAGCAGCGTGGGTGGCAGCGTGGGTGGCAGCATGGCCCAACTTGCCGGGTGGCCTCACCGCCAGCACCCAGCTACCACCACGCACATTTTCCATCCCCATAGCAACAGCAGTCAACGTCATTTTCACTGTCCTATCCCGTATGTACAAGCGCCACGGAATGTACTCCGAGAGCACTCCGTTCCCCTTGGAATAGCATATGGGCACTCTACCAGAGTGCACATATATTGCCGTATATACAGACGCTTCTGCTTAGGGGAATATGCACTTCACAATCACTACTGGAACTAGTTTGAAGAAGCTTGTATTTCATATTCCTATCACATCATCACACTGCCTCATTCTGAGTCTGGATTTGGGAAAATAGAAGTTTCCCCTCTATTGTGTTCTTGGAACAACTGAACGTGAACAAGAGGGCCCAGCACCAGAACGTTGAAGGACTGAGGGCGTCGGGTTTTCCTTCAGCTATTTACCAATTTATTATGGCATTAGTTTGCGGTCAAAACCTCACTAAAACCACGAAACTCATCTTCACTGGCACTTCCGTCTGTATTAGAACTATCACTGGGGAACAAAAGTGTCCCAATTCGCCGAGGAGTGAGGAGCTTCTTACCACCCGCGAGGCATGGTGAAGTTTATGCGTACTAGTACGGTCCAAAAAAATCCTGCCCGTAAAGCCGTACTAGTACGTCCAAAACTCCTCAAAGGTGGTTAAACGAGGTTTGATGAAGCTCATGGAGCAGGGACAGAGAGAGAGAGGACCTAGTAGCAATCAGTGAAGATGCGAAGCCAGGAGCTATGATTCGACCCCTGCAACCAACCACAGAGAAGTGAGTACATACATGCAAACCTGCACACTCCAAGCGAAGTGGCACACACTCATAACACACATTCACTAGCACACCACACAACACAGCTACACCACACACACACACATCACACACACCGCACAGAGGCAGGGCCCGGAGGAGCTGTGATTTGTACCCTTGCAATCCACAAGTAGGTTGAGTACACACCCATGTAAACAAACAATCAGACACTACGAAATGTCATGCCAGAGTATCTTTGCGACAAGTGTCTTTGACTACTAGTGACTAACCACACATACATGCACACAACAATTCTGCAATGAAACAAATGCACGCACACAATCCTGCATAAAACAACATACGCACACATACAATCCTGCATGAAACATACCGCACAAACCCAATCCTGCATGAAAACAAACGCACACATACAATCCTGCATGAACCATACGCACACACAGAATCCTGCATGAAACCATATGCACAAACACAATCCTCCATTAAACATACACAACAACAATCCTGCATGAATCATATGCACGACACACAATCCTGCATGAAAACATACTCACAACACACAACCCAGCATGAATCATAAGCGCACACACAACAAACCTGCATGAAACATACGCACAAACACAATCCTGCATGAAACTTATGCACAAACACGACAATCCTGATGAAAACATAACGCACAAACACAATCCTGCATGAAACATAATACGCACACACACAACCCTGCATGGAAACAATGCACACACAAGACAAACCTGCATGAAACAATCGCACAAACACAATCCTGCATGACATATATGCACACACAATCCTCCTGCATGACACATATGCCACACAATCCCTGGCATGACACATAAACACACAGACAATCCTTCATGAAAACATACACACAAACAACATCCTGCACGAAAACATACACACAACATAAACAATCCTGCATGAAACATACTCACAACACAATCCTGCAGAAACATATGCACACACGACACAATCCTGGCATGACACATAAGCACACAACACAACCTGCCCAACACATATACACCACACACAATCCTGCTTAAAGAAGGTCCACACACATTCCACATTGCAAGCCGAATACAACATATATACTTACTACCATGTTCTCATAATACATATCTGCAGCTCTTAATCATTGTTCAAAATTAATTACAGGAGATTATTGATGAAATAATGATAAAAGAAGATTTGTGAATGTTGCTATACTATATAAGGAAGGTCACCATTGTTAGCGGATTACAAATGGGAGAAGTCTGAGACATTGTTAGTTTAAGTAAGAATGAGAGAAGTCGGAGACATGTTATTATGTAAGAATGGTGGAGTCTGAGACATTGTTAGTGATGTACTAATGTGGAAGTATAGACATTGTTAGCTCAGACAAGAGAAAAATTCATTAATATTATCTTCAGAAAAGTGAAGACCAGCCAAAAATATATAACACAACACAGCATTACATCTCTGTCAAACCTCTCTATATTGACAGGGAAAACATTCACCTCACACCAGCAAATAAAACTTTTCGGGACAAATATAAAATGTACTAACTCAGAGAACGCCATCTCTTGGTAAAAAAAAAAACCATAATTGATTGTGCTCCTGCAAGGTTGTCTTCTTAGTTAATTTCTTTCTCCCAATAATTTACTTTGTCCTGCCAAGTACATGATGTATTAATCATATAAATTTTTACAAGTGACAACCACGAATGTTATTGAACACTTTTAGTATGTTTAAAATTATCTCATTTGTTTTAAGTTGTTGGAAAAACTTGATGATAAATCTTGGGTGAACATAGTTCTGATGGACCATTTTGCAGTTTTTTTTAGAAATTAATAAATGATACTAAATTAAATCTTAGTGTTAGAAACATGCTTAAAAACTTAATTGATTTATTTTGAACTAAATGAAAATCTTAGAGAATCGGTGAAAAGTAACGAGATGTGACACGACCTCCATGTTGTTGTGAGTGACATGAACCTCCAGGATTTTGTGAAGTTACATGACCTCCATGATGTTGTATAGTGCCATGAGCTCCATGGGTAGGTTTTATGTATTTTTGGTCCATGAGCTCCATGATTTATGAGAAGTCATGAATCAGGATGTTGTAGTACCATAAGCTCTATGATATTGTGATCTCCAGGAATGGTTGTGAGTGCCATGGGTTCCAGTGATGGTGTGATGCCATGAGCTCCAGGATCATTGTGAGTGCCAAGATCCCAGGATAGCTGTAGATGCCATGAGTCCATATGTTGTGAGTGCCAAGATCCCCAGGATGTAGTGAGTGCCAAGATCTACAGGATTGCCTTGAGTGCATGAGCATCCAGCATGTTGTGAGTGCCCATGAAGCTTCCAGTGATGTTGTGAGTAAATAAAGATAACATATTATTATGTATATCAACTGCAATGGAACTTCCCACTTGAAGAGATGTTACTATTCACAGAAAGAGCAAAACTCCGAAGGATCATTCAGTGCTACTACCCAACTTTTATCAAACTAAATATTCAACAGGACTGTTCATTAAAAACTTTGAAAGGGAATAGACACTGTCGACAATCAACAAATTTTTATTATTAAAATTATAAATTTTATAACAACAACAAACTAGAGTCCTATCCACTTGAAACATTAAGTACTCAAACTTTTCAATGACACAACTTTATTAAAATAAACTCTAGCAATAAACACTGACCTAAAGATAAGTGGACACCCAAACTAAGAAAACAAATAATTTTTAACTATATTAAAAAGTTTAAATATTTATTAACAAAGTTTGGTACCTTTATGTACAAGAAACTTAACTACAATTTCCTACACCTATTGAACAATTCCATCATTAGAATCTACAATTTTACACACGAAAATTATTAATAACTTTCTATCATAAAATACCTGCCCACTGTAGACATATAAACGCTTTAAGAAGATAGTTGGAGAGAATAAAAAAATCACCATTAGTAATTCCTAGCTACCATTTCAGACAATGCACAGAAAAAATTTCCCAAAGAAAAAAGTATGAATACTAAAACGAGAAAAAATAAAAGTTAACAAATGTATATATAATACTTTTTGAGCTCACACATAATAATATAATAAATATTTGTACACTGTCCATTTTGTGTAATTGTAATATATGAATTTATAAATTTAAGAAAGAAAATATACACTAGAGTGAAACAATTACTTTTAATGACGGAGAAAGAGATATACCAAATACTGAAGGTTTCAAAAAAAATTAATTTTTTACCTGAATCTAATCTATTACATTGAGAATAGTATCTTATTTGGACACCTATAAGTACATGACCACTCTCCCTGATTATGCAACATAACCTCCTAATACATATTACAATATTAAAACACTCCCTGTATGGACACTACAAGTTCACAAATATTAAGTATTAATAGCAAGAAATGAAGAGTTAAACTTTAATCTTAATACAGTGGACCGCCCCCTCGCCTTACGATATTATTATCATCCATAAGACTGTTTGGGTGCCGTATAGGGACCAATTTGTTTCCCATACGGAATAATTATGAATTAGATTTATGTCCGTTTTTCAACCAACCCCCAAAAATTATCACGTACAAAAGCCCTTACAAAAAACACTTACATAATTGGTCGATCTGGAGTCTGATCTGAAAGCGGGGGTCACTGTAATGTTCTCAACATGAAAGAAGTATTTACATATGTAATTCAAATCCCAATTGTGAAGGAAAAATTCACTTACAACTTTCCTAATTTTGTCATGAAATGTGAGTGTTTAACGTGGTGTGGGTTATTAGGTGCGAAAGCCTACTGACCCACACCACACCAAAAGAGTTATTGCAGTACTCAATGGCCTCCTAGATAGCCTCACTACACTAGCTAACACCTCAGTGAATAGCAGGTGATCTGTTGGCTACAAAACCTATTGGAATGCACTGGATGACCTCCTGTCTTTTTTGATGCTCTGAATGCTCTTTTCTCTGTATTTATTGTGATTGTTTATTTTCATGCAACTGTTGCACATCTTGTGGTGCCTTAGCTTTCTCACCACAAAAGTGAGGTGCCCAATCTGCTTCAGTTTTTGCCGATATACCAATGGGTGTACTATGTACTTGCATCACTCTGGAGCATGGTGGATCACAGCCAGACTACAGTACCACAGGTTGTGGCATACCTCTTGCTGGAGGAGCCTATATATTGATGTTTATATCTTTGTCAATTTTTGTCTTACTTTTTTACTGTATGATCCAATGTTATGATATTTCATGTTTGTAGATTTTGTTTGAATAAACCTTATAAACTTTTGGTTTAAATTTTCCAGTTATTTATATTTCCTAATAATATTTTCATAAGAATGTAGGAACAGTCTCTGAAACTGAGAAGGCATTTTGTTACCATTCACATTAATAAGTACTTTGTTGAGGAAGTATTCTTGTTAGCCAAACTTTGTAGTGTGTGAAGATGGTGGTTCTTGTTGAGATTCTTTGTAGTGAAGATTCTAATGTTCTTGGTCTTGTGTAACGTCTTGATTAATTGAGACATGTGGTGGATCCTTGCTTGGTAGTTCTTTGTTATGTTGTCTATCCTGGGCAAGTGTTAAATGCTCCTCTTCCTTGTTCTGCGGCTTTATTACTGAAATATACGAAATCCCTGAATAATATACAGTCCATCAAAAACACTATTTTAGTGTTCTTCCATAAACCAATGAAACATTTGTGAAAAAGTCTCATTAAAATCAAATATTTCAAATAAATTGTGCCAAAGTTGTTTAAAAAGGCAAATATGATATTTACAAAAATCAGTACAGTAGGGCCCCACTTACACGGCAGGCTAGGTTCCAGGCTACCCCCGTAAAGTGGAACACCTTTTTTCCACTTATAAATACATACAAATACTAGATAACAAGTTTACACCAACATATACAGTGGAACCTTGACTTACAAGTGTAAGTCCCTGGGTCAGTTTTTTGCTCTGGGTTATGAGCCAACATTTGAGTTACGAGCCAGCTGCCCCCCTCCCCCAAAACCTGGACACCTCTCTTGTTTATCTATGATTTCATGCTTTAATTCCATGGAAATTATTCTCTTTTTCTTCTCAGCAATAATAATAATATAATAATAATAATATATTATTATTAGTCAAGTCACTCAGTAAGTCATTTAAGTCATCAGTCAAATCATTCATTAAGTCAGTCAAGTCACTTAGTAAGTCAGTCAAGTCATTCAGTCACTCAGTAAGTCAGTCAGGTCACTCAGTAAGTCATTCAGTCAAGTCACTCAGAAAGTCACTCAGTCATTCAGTAAGTCAGTTATTCAGTAAGTCATTCAGTCAGTCAATCATTTAGTCAGCCAGTCACCCCAAACTCGTGTTAACCTCTTTTTCTGTGTACAAAGTAACACTTCAGGGCTACAGGTTCTCTTGTTTAATATCTTTGTTAATTCTAAGACTTAGTGCTTATACCTCTTCATGCCACTTTCAGCAACACTGGTATGGCTACTGGGTGCCACTTTCAGCAACACTGGTATGGCTACTGGGTGCCACTTTCAGCAACACTGGTATGGAAAATTTTATAGGGGTGATTACTTGTACATACCTCAACATTACATGCATACGAGTAATCTCCTGGGGGAGACAACAACGATTTGTTTACCGTAGTCACCCGTGTAGACATGTGAGAAAACTTAACCACCTCTGGTCACTGCAGGTGGCCCCTCGACCCTCACAATCTTATCCATATCTATCCGAGACCAGTATAAATTGGGTAGCACCCTCAAGTACGGCGCTACTAATTAATTGCGGACTGTATAGATTATATTAGTTTAACTGAATGAAGGGGGGGGGGTTACACATGGATATACCCATCAAGGAAAAACACTTGTACATAATCCCACCACTTACCAGATATTCTCTGGTGGTCACTTGATGTGGCTGGATCACCCAAAAACCCATCCAATTAAAACATACCTAACTGGCCAGTATCAGTCTGCTATAACTAGAAAGGTTACTTAACTGTGGGTGTTTGGGATGCTCCTTATTTCCTCCATTCGCCATCTCATTTCGATGTCCTGCTACACCAACATGGTTCTTATTCAGCAGGACGAGGTATCCGTGGTTTGCCCCGGTTTAGAAGTCATGATTCCATAAAACTTCGCTATCCTCGGGGACAAGAACCACGCGTTCACTCGGAGCAGGGCGATTTATTTCACTTCCCGCATTCTCTTAACTTAATGTTATTATCACTGATTACATTACCATTCACAAGACGATTTAACGTCTCATAATTATTATACACATTAGGGGTCACTCCATTAAGATCTGAGACTGATGAGTGAGGATTAACTCACGGGTAATTTCCCCTGGACACATTCCATGGCGGCGCACCCATCACCCCCGGTCCTATTATTATCCACTTCTTTTTCCACTTTATCACGGTGGTCACGTAAATCTCGTTCCCTCCCTCTTCATCAGGGACAACTACAACACTTCCTATTAGGAAGTGAGGCCTATGTTAATCCTTAGGCTGCCGTGAACGCCAATTTCCTGATCCCATGTTTCACAGCTTCCTCACTCCATTCAAAACACTCCCGCCACCTCGTGCCCCAGCTCGACCTATACCCCCCGCTCACATAAGCGCAGGCGCAGCGGGAACCCAGTTGGTTCCATTCAAAATACAAATACATTTTGACCCAAATCAACACATTAAACACTTATTAGGCACTATAGCTTCGGAAATTAAATAATTTCCACAACTGGTATGGCTACTGGGTGCCACTTTCAGCAACACTGGTATGGCTACTGGGTGCCACTTTCAGCAACACTGGTATGGCTACTGGGTGCCACTTTCAGCAACACTGGTATGGCTACTGGGTGCCACTTTCAGCAATACTGGTATGGCTACTGGGTGTCATGACTGCTTGGCAGATACAAGATATTGTAATTAAAATATCATAACACAATTGACAAACACAGCTGCCTTGTAGCAGAGAAAGACTGGACACATACGAATTAGGAATGTTGGGATGGTAGGGGGGGTGTCAGGGGGGTGTCGGGGAGTGGTAGGGGATGGTGGGGTGGTGTTGGGGAGTGGTAGGGGATGGTGGGGTGGTGTTGGGGAGTGGTAGGGGATGGTGGGGGTGGTGTTGGGGAGTGGTAGGGGATGGTGGGGTGGTGTTGGGGAGTGGTAGGGATGGTGGGGTGGTTTTTGGGGGAGTGGTAGGGGATGGTGGGGTGGTGTTGGGGAGTGGTAGGGGATGGTGGGGGTGGTGTTAGGTAGTGGTAGGGGATGGTGGGAGTGGTGTTGGGGAGTGGTAGGGGATGGTGGGGGTGGTGTTGGGGGTGGTAGGGGATGGTGGGGGTGGTGTTGGGGAGTGGTAGGGGATGGTGGGGTGGTGTTGGGGAGTGGTAGGGGATGGTGGGGGTGGTGTTGGGTAGTGGTAGGGGATGGTGGGGTGGTGTTTGGGGAGTGGTAGGGGATGGTGGGGGTGGTGTTGGGTAGTGGTAGGGGATGGTGGGGTGGTGTTGGGGAGTGGTAGGGGATGGTGGGGGTGGTGTTGGGGGGGTGGTAGGGGATGGTGGGGGTGGTGTTGGGGGAAAGTGGTAGGGGATGGTGGGGGTGGTGTTGGGGGGTGGTAGGGGATAGTGGGGGTGGTGTTGGGGAGTGGTAGGGGATGGTGGGGGTGATGTTGGGGGTGGTAGGGGGTGTTGGGGAGTGGTAGGGGATGGTGGGGGTGGTGTTGGGGAGTGGTAGGGGATGGTGGGGGTGGTGTTGGGGAGTGGTAGGGGGTGGTGTTGGGGAGTGGTAGGGGGTGGTGTTGGGGTGGTAGGGGGGGCTCCCGGCTGTCCACAACAAGGTCGTCACTTGAGCAAAAGAAAAATTTTTTTTTTTCCTTCCACAAACTGAACAATGTTAAATTAATTATACAACATGTTACATAAAATTGTGCAGCAATTCTTCAATGGCAGTCTAGTGTATTATTATAATAACGACAGAGCTTTAGTTCCCTAAATTAATAATAATGATAGAACTAGGTAGTAGGTTGGTAGACAGCAACCGCCCAGGGAGGTACTACCGTCCTGTGGTAGTAGGTTGGTAGACAGCAACCGCCCAGGGAGGTACTACCGTCCTGCCAAGTGATTTGTACAACGAAAACCTGTAATTGTTTTACATGATGGTAGGATTGCTGGTGTCTTTTGTCTGTCTCATAAACATGCAAGATTTCAGGTATGTCTTGCTACTTCTACTTACACTTAGGTCACACTACACATACATGTACAAGCATATATATACACACCCCTCTGGGTTTTCTTCTATTTTCTTTCTAGTTCTTGTTCTTGTTTATTTCCTCTTATCTCCATGGGGAAGTGGAACAGAATTCTTCCTCCGTAAGCCATGCGTGTTGTAAGAGGCGACTAAAATGCCGGGAGCAAGAGGCTAGTAACCCCTTCTCCCGTACAAATTACTAAATTTAAAAGAGAAACTTTCGTTTTTCTTTTTGGGCCACCCCGCCTTGGTGGGATACTCCCGGTGTGTTGAAAGAAAGAAAGAATAATGATAGAACTTCGGTTCTCTAAAATTAATAATAATAATAATAATAAAAATTAACTATTATTATTATAATGATAGAGCTTCAGTTCCCTAAATTAATAATAATAATATTATTATAATAATGATAGAGCTTCAGTTTCCTAAATTTAATAATAATAATAATAATAATGCACAACAATACAGGATAATACAGGACCATGTAAAAGTTATCGTGCAAAACAATGAAATCAAAGAAACACGTTTGCTAGGAAAACAAGGTAGAAGTTATATTGCAGTGGCAGCGGCGGGCAGCAGCGACCTCCAAGCTCCGTACTTTTCTCCAACTATCAGAGCTACCAATGCTCCTACGATGACCTAGTTACATGCAAAACTGCACTACCCAACGTAACACCCAGAATGACCAAAGATTACCAACAGTGAAACCTACAAATCGAACATAATAGAGATCAAAGGAAGACTGCCCACAAACCGAAAGCAACACCCGCTGCCAGCCGAACAACGTAACCCTAAACTTTGTTAACTACAACTTCTTCTTAACTACAACAATTCCTGTAGTATTATGAGGCGCAATCTAAGAGGAAACAGCACCAAGGCCAGCAAGAAAACGCCAAAAAATCAACTATTCAACAAGTGTAGTCAGGAGGACGCCGGCCCAGCAACCACCCCAATCACCACCACTCAAGGCGACACCACAACAATAACAAACAAACATGGCTGCCACCAGCCCAAATCCTCCCCTCTCTTCCCCGGATTCAACCTACCAAGTAGTCTCTCAGGTATGACCAACGATCCAGATACCCTAAAGTCATGCATCTCCAACTTAGTTATTGAAAATATGAATCTTCGAGAGACGCTAACAAAACTAGACACCAGGATGACACAACTCGAGAACAAAATCCTCAGTCTTGAACAAAAGTTATCAACACCAGGAATGACAAACTGTGGCAAGACCATCCAGACAGTCATAGATAGCCATACCCAACAAATAATATCTCTTAATACAAAGGTTGAAGAAGCAGTAAAAGAATGGAAGAACAACTTAGATAACCAGTTCAGCGACTATTTTGCTCTCCAAGAAGATAAAACT